ATTAAAAAAATGCGAATCAAAATAGCGTAAAAATTTCAATCAGACATCGAAAAGTAGCGACAAATTGGCACCATTCTTAACTATTGGATAAAAAGACTCATAAAAAAAAATCAAGACTAAAAAAAAAAAAAGTTAAATAAATAAAAAAAAGAAACGAAACAGAGTTTCTAGAAATTACCAAAATGTTGTGACGTTGGAAACACAGATAAAGATTCATGGCGACCTTGTTCCCGCTGCCAAAGAGAAGTTCGCGTGATTTTCTGTGCGACTGGCGCGAAAATTTCGGGAGAAGAAAAAAAAATGGTACTCGTTTGGAAACGAAAATAGCAGGTGACCACGAAAGGCTACGAACGGGCTGACCAAAAGGAGCCGAGAATAATCAAAGTGAAAATTCTGTAATTATAATGGAAAACTAAAACATGTTTTTTCGGGCAAAACCACAAAACGGTTTTGGTATAATTTTTTCGTTTTTGTTTTTCAGTTTTTTTTTGTCTCTCAGCAATACGAATGCATCCAATTTCATCTGCTTTACCTCTTTGTTCCCGGGGAAATCCTAAACAGATATTTTATCACACAATGGAATGCAATGCGTACATACAAATGGTTAGGCCATAGTAATGATAATATTACCCGTTTCGTTATAAGGAAACATTCAGCATTCACTGTGAGAGTAGTCAGAGCTACTGACGACTGAAATTTATAAAAATCTTTCTTTCATAACAATTTTTCCAGAAAATAGTTTTCTCAAGCCCAGTAACTCTTATAGCTCTTTCCAATATTGGTGGGCATTTCTTCCTAACATTTTGTTTGTAGTAGGGTGGGATGTTAACATCTGGATTATGTTATTTTTGAAAGTCCTCAAGTGATGTGGTTTCTGTTATTTGGTAAAGTTCTTTATTTGTTATTCTTATATGGTATTGAATGTTGGACAATCTCATCATGGATGAGGAAAGAACTTGAGGTAGCATAAATGTGATTCCGAGAAGGATAATGAAAATCCCGTGTACAGAACGAGTAAACAATAAATAAATCTTAAGGGAAATGGCAACAGAATGAACACTTATACTCAGAATCAGGGAAGGACAGTTTTAATTCCTTAAACACCTAATGTAGAAGGAGGTTTTGGAGAACTGAACCCTCACGTGATATATTGAGAGCAAGGGAGACAGGAGCAGCTCTTAACCACTAGGGTGAGGAGCTTGTGTGAATGGATGGGGGAACGGGGGGGGGCTTTAGCAAAGGGCGAAAACTACGAGGAGCCTAAGAGGAAGAAGCAGAAAAAAGGAAGAGGGGAAAGAAGAAGAAGAAGAAAAGGAAGAGGAAAAAGAAGAGAAATAAGAGTAAGAAGAAAAAGAAGAAGAAAAAAGATTGATTCATTCGTTTTCTACGGTTTGTCAACCCTTTCCATGCTATTTAATGGCAGAAAATATTTTAGATTGTAAGAATTCTTTTTTTTTTTTTTAGATAATAATGGTCTAGAGACACAAGTTTTAATAGTTAACTGGGGAAGACGAAGTGAATTCATTCCTTTCCTAAGGATATTTGCACATTTGAATTTAAGGGAGCCAGTGGGAATTGGAACTCTTCGCTCCGATTAACAATTCCGAGCCATTGGCCATTACATCACCCACACATCCGAGCTTGCAGCACCTGGTAATTCCCAAGCGGTCACCCTACTAGGTACTGACCAGGCTCGACCCTGCTCAACTTCGGTAATCGCACGAGACCCAGTTTTGAAATATGAGTAATAATATTCTTACTGCTACCAGTAGTCGTTAGATGAATGTTGCATCTAGTAATTTATAATGTTTAATGTTTGCTTCTTAAGCATTTTCATTACATCAACAAGAAAGTCCATGAGTCCAAATAATAAATATTTATGCTGTACTTTAATTTTTATCTGTCTATATTTCTGAGATGAAGTATTGTAAACTATTGACACTATTTACATTGTTCAGACTGTTGTCCTCATTTTTGTTGACACATTCACAATGCTTCGGCTGTTGTACACTTCGGTCTTCTTCAGGTGATATTTGCTTGAATTTCGGACTGAACCTAGAATAGTTAATCTGTATGTTGCCGTTTCTGAAGATTGGTTCAAATGAGTCGTGTGTAAACGTTCTTCCCATGTTTATTTCCTTAAATGGGCTGGCATATAACATTCACATTTCTAGTCACTAAGAATCTGTTCCAGATTCTGTTCAAGCAGTGGATGGAGGAAATGGAACAGAATCTCAGTGTCTTTACTGAGCGACCTAGGAATGTAAATGTTATATGTCCTCTCATTTTAGGAAATAAACATGGGAAGAACGTCTACAGAAGCATCATCGAACCAATCTTCAGAAACGCTAGCATGCAGATTGTCTATTTTGGGTTCGGTTCGAAATTCAAAGAAATATCACCTGAATCTACAATGGCAGAAAGCGTGGGGTTAATAGCAGAGTAGACTAATATCTCTAGCTTTGGTTGGCAGTCAGTTTAGGAGAATAACAACTCAGAT